GGCTGGCCTGGAACTTGCTCTGTAATCTAGGTTAGCCCCTAACTTGGGGTCTTTCCACCTCAACCTCAGCTACCAAGGCCAGCTATGTAGATTTCTTTCAAGTGGAACATGCCATTGTCCTTGTGGCAGAGGCTACAGAAAAGTTCTCTGGTGTCACATACTAAAAATATGGCATTGCAGGAGAACGGGCTGCATATCAGCTGTCTCCGGCCTGTGCAAAAGCCAAGCATTCACAGCTCCCACAAGTCAATGGTGTGTCTGTCTGATCTGGTCTCTTTCCACAGGCAGATGTGAGGGTGACCTGGCTGAGACATCCGTCATCCCATTGATCACCAGGACTCATTCTGCGGATCTACCCTGCTAGGCCAGAGTCCAGCCTCCTCCTTCCCCGCCCCATGTACATCGCTCCTGAAGAAGCACTGGCCCTCCCTCGCAGAGGCCAGCCCTCTCTACCAGCAGACTGCTCTTTGGTCCAGGGTGTACACGTAGTGTCCTCCTCTGCTTGACCCCGCAAACCAGCTCTTGTTTGTTTGACACAAGGTCTCTGTGCAGCCCTTAATGTCCTGGAATTTGTTATGTAGACCAGGCTGGGATGAGGATCTCTTTATACAAGGAACACCAGGCTGGAGAGAAGCTCAGCAGGTCCTAGCACCCACATGGAGTGCTTCACAACAGATCCAGGGGATTTAATAATACCGTCTTCTGAACTCTAAGGGTGCACGTGGCAGATAATCACAGATATACACACACATACACATAAATTTCTTTTAAAAAGGAAACAGATTTCTGGGGGAACTGGATGGTAAGGGGAAAAAAGGCCTTTATCTTTTCTACTTTGTATCTGTTTTGTGCTTCAATGTTTTCCTTATGTAGTATTTCTATAATTAAAAATAATTAGAATGACTGGCATCTTCCAGCATATACTGCTACTGGCTTATAATTAATATTCTTAGAATCTCATGTTCAACGTACGCCCTGCCCTAGCGAGGCTGTGTGCTGAGACGATCCCAAGGCTCCTTCAGAAGGAAGCACACAGGTTCACAAAGGATTAGCCTTTGCTCCTTGGAGGAGGAATACGGAGAAGGACTGGGATAGTGTAATACTGGAAAAGCCAAATCTATTGCCAAACTTCACAATAGTGTGGATGAGCTGTTACCTGGGGGAAATGGGTAAGGAGGGCTGAGGTGGTCTCAAAGAAAATGGTCCCCAAAGGGAGTGGCACTATTAGGAGGTGGCTGTGTTGGAGGAAGGGCGTTACTGTGGGGGCAGGCTTTGAGTTCTCCTGTGCTCAAGCTACTCCCAGCGTCACGGGGCACTTCCTGTTGCCTGTGAGACGTAGGACACTCAGCTACTTCTCCAGCACCGTGTCTGCCTGCACACCACCATGTCCTACCATGATGATAGAGGACTGAACTTCTGAACTGTAAGCCAGCCACCACAATTAAATGTTCTCCTTTATAGGAATTACTGTGGTCATGGTGTCTTTTTACAGCAACAGAACACTGACTAAGACAAGGGTAAATGCTGGAAAGAAGATCCATGCTTTTGGGTAAGGTTTCAGGTCCAGGGCCCTTCACTAAATGGTGGGAAAGAGAATAGTTACTTCCATGATGCTGGAAAAGCTCCAACAGGATAGCACTCAGAATGATGTCAAAAACACTCTACATTAGTGTCTGGAGACACAGCAGCTAAGAGTGCTTGCTGTTCTTCCAGGGTACAGAAATTTTGTTCCCAAGGACCCAAGTCAGGCGGCTCACAACTGCCTGTAACCCAGTTCTAGGGGGTCCAACACCCTCTTCTGGTTTCCTTGGATACATGCATGCATGTGCACAGACACACATTCTCACACGCGCGCGCACACACGCGCGCACACACACACACACACACACACACACACACACACACACAAATAAATACTTAGGAACCGAAAGGATGGCTCATCAGTTAAAAGTGCTTATTTCTCTCCCAAAGTTCCATTTGTGGGATTGCTCACAATCTCCCATAATTTCAGCTCCAGGGAATGTGGGACCTCTAATCTCCGAAGGCACCTACATTCACATGTACACACACTAACAATAATAATAATAATAAAAAAATTGCCAGGAAATGTTGTTGCACGCCTTTAATCCCAGCACTCTGAGGCAGAGGCAGGTGGATCTGAGTTTGAGACTGGTCTGGTCTACATAGTACCAAGCCAGCCAGGGGAACAAAGTGAGACCCTGTCTCATATAAATAAAATTAAACAAATAAAGCTGGGCATCACAGTAGAGTCCCATAATCCCAACACTTGGGAAGTAGAAGCAGGAGGACCAGAAATTCAAGGTCAACATTGGCTACATTGGGACCTCAAGGCCAGCCTGGGCTACATAAGACCATCTCAAAAACAAACATATTAAAAAGTAAAACAAAACGCAGACCTCAGGCTAAGTGTGATGGCACACATAACTAGGAGGATCACACACACCCCAAAACAAAAAGAAAAGTAACTGGTGAGAATTGGTTCCAAATTGCCTTATGCATTACAACAACTTTCCCCAAATATGGTGTTTTTTTCTAGGGGTTTATGAGAATGGGTGAGTCTCCCCATGAAGTCCAGGTTTGCTCAGACCTCAGTATGTAGCCCAGGCTACCCTTAAGCTAACAATCTTTTTGCCTCAACCTACCAAGGGCTGAGATTACAGGCACCCAGCCTGGTCAGATGTTTTCGAAAGGAAAATTTTAGTGTAGCAGCCATCAAACTGAAACTCACCCCAAATTCAAATTGAGACTATTCATCTATCCCAGCAGCTCAGTCTACAGCGAATTAGGTGACTTTCAGGGTTTGTTAAAGGCCAGACTCTATTGCTCAGAGAAATTTTAAGTTTTGTTCTATTTTGTGGTGGTTTTTTTTTTTTTTTCTTTTTCTTTTTCTTTTTTTTTCTTTTTAGCCCAAAGCTGGCCTGAACTGGTGAACCTTCAGCCTCCTCCTCCTCCTCCCAAGTGCTGGAACTAGAGGCATGTGGCTACCACACCCAGCTAAGTTATTTTTTAAAGGAAGACAGCCATCTGTCTAGGTTTCTGGAGGGGCAGAGAAACTCACAGCAGGGGGCCAGGTGACTTGGAGCCTCTAGGAGGAATTTCGATCCAAAGCTGCCATGGCCTGTCAGCGCGGCTGGCTGAGTCCAGCTGGTTCGGGAAGCACCAAAAATAAGCTACAAAGCATTCAGGGGCTGTGCTTATGGTTTAGATTCCAAACACTTGGTGTGTATCCCTTACCCAGGAGCGGGTATTTTTACGTATTTGTGTGTAAAGGAGACTAAAGGAGAATACTGGAGGCAAAGGAATGTAAGTTGTGGGTCAACATATATGCCTGATGCATAAAAACAGAGATTTAAAGTAAAACACTAGAGAACGCCTCTAATCTAGAAAGAGAAAGCAAACCGCCATTCAGCGGCAATAAAGCGGTGCACCAAGGTACCCTCCACATCCCCGGGGTTCACGTGGAGGCCGGTGGGCTGAAGCCCGGCTCGCCGGAGGGAGACTGAGGGGCGGGGAGAGGGGGACAGACACACCTTGCCGGGCGAGGCTGGCGGCCACCTCACTGGTCCAGCTGACCGACCCGACTCGGACAACCGAGAGGAGACTCACTTCTCCGGCTCTCCCGCCCATGGGCGATGGGTTTGGTCCCCAGCTCGCCCGCGTCCACCTCTGTGATCCCTCCACCCCGACCGTCCGGGCTCCCCAGATCCTACACCTTCGTCCTTCCCGGACCCCACGCCGCTTTCCTTTCAGTCACAGATCGGGACCCGTTACCTGCAGAGCGGCTCGACAATCCTGCAGGTAGTCCTCCATGGTGAAGCCCGAGGTGTGCCGTCGCCCCTCGGCGAGGAGAGGTAACCCGGCCGAATGCACCCCACCCCAGACTCAGGGTCTAGAGCCGAGAGTCAGGGGGCGGGACTCGAACCCGCCACACAAGGGTTCGGCCTCCGAACCCCCAGGAGGAAGTGCGTAATCCGGCACTCCGGGAGTCCGGCGTTACCCCGCCCCCAGCGGCGGAGGCTGAGTTCTGAGCCCAGAGGCTCATGGGAGGTCAAGGAGGAGCATGTCGCAGTACCTCCTGGGAAATGTAGTCCGGAAGCTCCTAAGAGTCCCCAAGTGAGCAGTTTTCTGAGTGCTATGACATACAAATTGTGTATGTGTCACAATAATTCGCCTTTATGGCATCTGAAATTGCTCTTTCAGCTATGACTAGGTATAGTATCTTTCCATATATTACACTGAGCATCTGTTTGAGATTAATGTAAATTAATCTCTCATATATATATTTTTAAATACAAGGTCTTGATATATAGCCCAAGCTAGTCTTTCTTCTCAGCTTCCTGAATGCTGGATTCACAAGCCTGGCTTGGTCGGGACTTTAAATTGCAGCATATCTCTATGTCTTATTAAAATAGCTTTAGGTGTTTTTTAATTTTAATCCTCCCCTTTACCAAACTGACCTATTGTGATCAACGGTGTGTTTGTTCATGCTAGGAGAGCATTAGCATAATCTTTGACCTGTCTTCTTAAAATACAGTCGTGCCAACTCCTCCTAACTCCTTAACTCTGTAGCCTCTTTTCCCGCACAGCCTGGACAAATATCTCCTCCTGCTGTTCTTGGACTGTTGCAACCGTGACTTTGCTTCCTGGGTCTCTGTTGCAACTGTTCTCTCAGCTTTCAGAGTTGCTTAAAGTCTCATCCTGTGGCAGCCGCGTCAACACAGGAGCCTTCAGAATGTAAGGCTAGGTTCCAACATCTCTCCTCAACTGACACTTTCGTGCCCCAGCGCAGATTACTGGGGGAGGGGGGTGTCCCTTCATCATAACATGTTCCCTCATTTTTTTAATCTATCCCCAGATTTTTCTGCTCCTCGGGGAGGTGAGAGGAGACGAGGGGGCGTCTTCTTCACCCTAGATGTATTAACCAGGTACACAGCTCCATCAGTTTCATTTCTAGCCTTTAAAAAAAAAAAAACATACAGGGAGAAAGGGAAGACGTGGAAAGGAGCCCTCTGGGGGGCTCCCGAAAAACAGAAGCGGTGGTTTTTCTTTCCTGTTAAACGAATAAATATGCAAACACAATGCTCTTTCGGCCCGCTTCCACGGCCCCGAGCGGAGGCCTGCCGCAGGCATCCAGGGAGGTCCCAGCAGCGGCTGCGGTCCCGCCCCGCTCCTCTGCGCTCCGCCAGGCCGCTTGCTTTTCCCGGCTCTCACCAGAGAGGCACACGCGCCCCGTCCGTCGCTTCCCGCGGCAGGCGGAGGGAAGAGAAAGGGTCTGTTGTTTTTCTCTCTTCCTTTCTGCCGCTCACCGGGCTGCTGACCGGCTCAGACAGCCCTGATGGAAATCCTCCGCGGCTGAGCAGCCCCCCCACCTCCTCCAGGGACCTCGTCCTCGGCTAATTTGTCTTTGTCCCGGCCGGCCGAGGGAAAGAGAGAGGGAAAGAAGAACAGGAAAAACCACAAACTTCCTTTGAAAACCAGTTTGTAGGCAGGGCCTGGAGCGCACGCCGGAGAGCCGGCCACTCGGCCATCCTGAAGACGCCGGGAGGCCCCCTGAGCGCCGGGGCGGGCTGCCGCCTGCTTGCCCTCGCCCCCCACCCTCCTCCCGCGTCCCCGGTGCTGGGCGTGAGTCCGGAAGTGGTCACGACCCAAGCGGGGCGCCGCGCGAGTCAACCCGTGTCAAGCCGTGTAAGCTCCGGGGCTGACAGCTGGGAGCAGCTGGCGCAGGCGGCAGCGCCCCTCGACGGGGTCCCCTCCTCCAGCGTCGAACCGCCAGAATTGAGTCCTCTCCCCGTCCCGGAACCGCATCCACCTCTTTAAGGTAAAAACTTTGTTTTCAAACTAGCTTCTCCTGCTCCTCTCGCAGCTCTCCTTTCCCTCTCCGGCTTGAGGGGAGTTGACACCTGATGTCCCGTCTGTGGTCTCTACATCTGGGTCGCTGGTAGGATCCTTGCAAGGCACGAGGGGAGCTGTCCCTTCATTTCCCCATTATAAACAAACCCTCTCCCTCTCCTTGGGAGCAAGAATTGCAGTGTTTGACTTATTCTAGAGGAATCTCAAAGCATTGTTGCCGTGAAGGTTTGCCTTCAGGTGAGAAGGAGGTTGGGTAAGACCCGAAAAGGAGGTCAGGGGAGAAGGGTCCGGAGAGTGGGTAGTGTCGTCTTGTAGCTAAGTACGTATTTAATACGCTTCTTCTACTGTGTAATAGTATCTGCTGCTGGCTAGGAAGGGACCGGGTGTTTTAACTACCTCACCTGCGCCCATAGGGGGTTCTATGAGAGAGGAAGTGTAGGATTTGGACTGAAGAAAGGAAAGGAGGTATAAGGCTGAAACCCGGGTTTATTTGAATACCCTCCCCTCATGCTTTCCTACCTGTGGGCCTTGCAAGGTGGAGTCCTCCATTGCCTTTCCTGCCCTGCCCCTGCCCACTTTCCCTGAGACCCCACTCCCTCGGGTGGTTTCTTACAGCTCCTTTCTTTGGTCGGCTAGCTTTCCCAACCCCCACTTAATTATTGATCATTTCTAACCTTGGGCAGAAAAGGAGCCATGCTTCTCTTTAGGCTTTTAAAAATTTCCCAGGCGCGGCATCTGTTTCAAGGTTCACCCTAAGTGCCATGGGAGGGGAAGAGATGTGGAGAGAGAGGCGGAAAAAGAGTGTAAGGCCTGCAGATAAATTTTGCTAGTGTGATTCTAAATTAACAAAATATTAATTACCTGCAGCTAGCACTAATCATATTTGAATCAGGAGAACGATCAATTTGGGTGACGAGACTTATGTTAGTTTCAGTAACTTTGATGTTTCTCTGTAGCCCAGGCAGACCTTGAACTAGAGGCCCCCCTGCCTCAATCCCCTGAGTAACAGGGATTGGCACACCTGAGACACCACACCCAGCTAAGGTCACGCCTGTGCCCCAGCCTTCTCCCAGCACCCGAGTCCTGAAGGTTTTTAAGAAGAAAACAGGTGAAGGAGCAAGAAGCTGAGCAAGAGTTCAGGTCAGGTGTGTCCTAAACCACTTAAAATCCCCTCACTTGGGAATCTGAGGCAAGATTACCGAAAGCTTGAGCTAGCCTGGGCAACCAGAGCTCTGGCTGGCTCTGCCCCCCGAGTGCTGGGATTAAAGGCGAGTGCCACCAGCGCCCGGCGCCCTCCCTGTTTTTCTTTCTTTTTTATTTTAATGGTGCTGGGAATGGAACCCAGGGCCTTGCATATGTTAAGCATGTGCCCCACTGCCAGGCTATACCCCCAGGACTTGCCCTTTTTTCTTTTTTTTTTTTATCCTCACTAATGAGTAGGGAGGGGAGGAAGGAGATTGTCACTATCTCTGGTCCTAACTGTATCTCACTTGATGCTTAATGCTGATAAACAGCAAGTTAGACAGGTCCAGTGTTCACGTCTAAAATGATCTAGATGGGAGCCATGAAGAGAGTGTGTGCCAGTGTGTGAGGCTTGGACCCAGGGGGTTTTGTATGCCAGACAAGGCTCCATCACTGAGCTATACCCCAGCTCTTTTTTTATTTTATTTTGAGATAACTTGGAGGGTCTCTCCACTGAAGGCCTTTGTCACTATACACAAGTAGTGGGTGTTGGTTAAATCGGCGCTGCTGCTGGTGGCTGGCCGCCGCCCACAGCGGCCATGCTGGCAGAGGAGAGTGCTGGAGGAGAGTCACGAGCCATGGTTACCTTTTTAGAGCTTTATTGGGAGGGAGGGAGGGAGAGAGAGAGAGAGGACAGACAGAAGGAAGGAACAGAAAGGAAAGAGACGGACGCACAGAGGGCCCACCCACTTTTTAGGCTGGGATGCCATCGCAGGCTGATGACGTAATTAAGGACCGAATCCTTACAGTGGGGGATCATATCTGTTATATACATATATAATACATGAACATGTAATATACAGTATATATTATATATGAGCATATTGTATATGTATGAGTGTTTTCTGTAGTGGTACTTTCTCACTGGGACTGCCAGTCCACAGATAATGACCACAGATAATGACACGGAGACTTATTATTCCAAAAGCTCAGCCTTAGCTTAGGCTTCTTCCCAATTAGTTCTTATAACTTAAATGAACCCATATTTTTTTTAATATATTTCATTTTATTTATTTATTTATTTGTTTTTTTGAGACAGGGTTTCTCTGTGTAGCCCTGGCTGTCCTAGATCTCACTCTGTAGATCAGGCTGGCCTCAAACTCACAGAGATCCACCTCCCTCTGCCTCCCGAGTGCTGGGATTAAAGGCGTGCGCCACCACTGCCCGGCTAATGAATCCATATTTTTTAATCTACGTTCTTTCACAAGGCTCGTCCCCTCATCTCCGTACTGCCCATCCTCCTTTCTCTGCCTTTCTTCCCAGAGTTCTTTATGCCCAGAAGTCTTGCCTCCTGTCTAGCTGTTGGCTGTTCAGCTCTTTATTGCACCAATCACAGCAGTACATCTTCACACAGTGTACAAATCTCCCACAACAGTTTCCCTTTATGTATGTATGCCACATGTTCTCGGTTCCCACAGAAGCCAGAAGAGGATATCAGATTCCCTGCAACTTGAGTTACAGATCCTTGTAAACCCGTCTGTGGGTGCTGGGAATTGAACCTTGGTCCTCTAAAAGAGTAGTATATATCCTTAACCACTGAGCCATCTCTCCAGCCCTGAGGTATTTTAAATGTAAATCAATAATCAGCAGTTTCCTATTTCATATAAATAGCAAGCAAGAGAACATCTCCGGGTGCCGGCACTGCTAGAAACAAATAAGACCTGAAGAGTTGCTGTGTCAGCTCCAGGTGGGGAGAGCACTCTCCTGGAAGGATTTGTGGGGAGCACTTTTTGTGCCCCATCTAAGGTTGTTATTGGCGGTAGGATCAGAGCCTGGGCCTTGGGCAGCCCTAATAAGCCAGGTTTGACCTATTGTCCTCAATAAGCCAATTAAAAGAGCTGAATTAATGGTGAAAACTAGGGGCCAGTGAGATGGCTCCCTTGGTAAAGGCTCTTGCCGCCTGATGACCTGAGTTTGATCCCAGGTCCCACACGGTGGAAGGAGAGAACACATTTTTGAAAGTTTCCTTCCGGCCTCCAAGTGTGTACATACACACACACACTAAATTAAATTAAAATAGTAACAGTAAAAAGCAGAAAAAAACAAAAAAAAAAAACTAGCAACAACAGGGATTTATTCCATGTAGCCACATTGGATCTAGCAACAAAGTGATTTGGTGACACTCCCCAGTTCATCTTCAGAGTCCTAAATTAGCAGAGACCAGAGTTCTGCATAGCGAAGCAGTCTAGGTAGGTCAAGGTGTGGACCTGCCCATTACTGACCCATTATTGTTGGGGCCTTAGCCTCATCTTGCAAGGTTGTTGGATGAGTTGTTAGAACCCTGAAATCTTTTTTCTTGGCTACAACTTCCTGTCTGGCTGGCTTCAAGGGTCAGTGTTTTTCTCCTCCCAGCTTGAGATTCCCGGGGGAAATTTCAATTCCTTGGGTCCATTGTTCCAGCGGTATAATAGGCAATGCGATGAAGGACATGAAGCAGTGCTTTAGTGCAACTGAAAGTTTCCTGCGTCCCACCTGGCAGCCGCTCAGACCCAAGTAAACACACAGAGGCTTATGTTAATTAAAACTGCTCGGCCCTTAGGTCAGGCCTACCACTGCCTAGCTCTTACACTTAAACTCAGCCCATTTCTGTTAATCTGTATGTCACCACATTTTCTGTGGCTTTACCTGTGTACCATTACATGCTGCTCCGTGGATGGCAGGCTGGCATCTCCTAACTCAGCCTTCCTTTTCCCAGAATTCTCCTTGTCTATTTATCCCGCCTATACTTCCTGCCTGGCTACTGACCAGTCAGCTTTTTATTTATCCACCAATCAGAGCAACACATTCACAGCATGCAGAACATCCCACAGCACTTTTAGAATAGTGGTTCTCAACCTGTGGGTCATGACCCCTTTGTGGGGGTAGAAGAACCCTTTCACTGGGGTTGCCTAAGACCATAGGAAAACACAGGTGTTTACATTATGATTCATAACAGTAAAAAAAGTACAGTTATGAAGTATCATCAAAAACAATTTTGTGGGGGGCTGGAGAGATGGCTCAGAGGTTAAGAGCACTGGCTGCTCTTCCAGAGGTCCTGAGTTCAAATCCCAGCAACCACATGGTAGCTCACAACCATCTGTAATGAGATGTGGTGCCCTCTTCTGGCCTGCAGGCATACATGCAGACAGAACACTGAATACGTAATAAATAAATAAATCTTTAAAAAAAAAAATCCCATCCTTTAGTGAGTCTTACCAAGTAAATCTGCATGCAAGCAAACAGAACACTGTATAGATAATAAATAAATAAATCTCCAGGACAGACTCTGAAGCTACACAGAGAAACCCTGTCTCCAAAAACCAAAAAAAGAAAGAAAAGGAAAAAAAAAGAAAGAAACAAAACATGAAAGTTGAAAGGGGAGCCTGGCGGTGGTAGCCTTTAATCCCAGCACTCAGGAGGCAGAGGCAGACAGATCTCTGTGAGTTTGAGGCCAGCCTGGACTACAGAGTGAGTTCTAGGACAGGTTCCAAAGCTACACAGAGAAACCCTGTCTCGAAAAACCAAAAATAAATAAATAAATAATAAATAAATCTTAAAAAAACAATAACAACAAAATTTTATGGTTGGAGGTCACTATAACATGAGAGACTGTATTAAAGGGTCTCAGCATTAGGAAGATTGAGAACCACTGCTGTAGAATATTCTCAATCTTTTCAGGGATGCCCAGGTTACAGAGTTGCTTATTCAACACTGACAAGCCCCATGACCTACATTTCCCCTTCCTCCAGGAAGCTCCTCCCTAGGCTTTTTGTGGTGGCTGCTTTGGAATTGTGTAAGGTTCCACCAAGTCTTCTGAGAGCCAGGCATGATGGTGCAGGCCTCTAATATCAGTACATGGATGGCTAACATAGGAGCCTCACTGAAAATTCTAGGTCATAGCCTGACTTGGTGGTATACACTTTTAATCCCAGCACTCAGGAGACAGGCAATTGGATCTGAGTCTGGGGTCAGTGCTGTGGGATGTTCTGTATGGCAAATGTGTTGCTGATTAGTCAATAAATAAAACACTGATTGGCCATTGGCTAGGCAGGAAGTATAGGCGGGACAAGAAGGAGAATAGAGCTGGGAAGTGGAAGGCTGAGTCAGAGAGACACTGCCAGCCGCCACGATGAGAAACAGCATGTGAAGATGCCGGTAAGCCACGAGCCATGTGGCAAGGTATAGATTAATGGAACTGGATTAATTTAAGCTGTAAGAACAGTTAGCAAGAAGCCTGCCACGGCCATACAGTTTGTAAGCAATATAAGTCTCTGTGTTTACTTGGTCGGGTCTGAGTGGCTGTGGGACTGGCAGGTGAGAGAGATTTGTCCTGACTGTGGGCCAGGCAGGAAAACTCTAGCTACAGGTCAGCCTGGTCTACAGAGTGAGATCCAGGACAGGCACCATAACTACACAGAGAAACCCTGTCTTGAAAAATAAATAAATAAACAGATAGATAGATAGAGTCATTTGAGGAACAGGATTTCTTCTACCTTTCCAGCCTGGCACAAAATTTAGAAACATGGTGTCACCTTTTTGCACCTTCATCCCCCAAACCACATGCTGATAGCTCTCTGGTCCCTGAGGTGAGCAGGGAGGAGGTATCCCTATGGACACCAGCGGCCTATGTGCTCAGAATGTTCTGGAAGGGGCAAGTTTTGTTGTCTGTAACCGACAGGATTGCCTTTACCAAGGCAGGCTAAACGTTACCGTATTAGTAACCATAAGGATTGTTTTTGTTTACTGGTTTTCGTTTGTTTGTTTGAGAACCTGGGGATCCCACCCAGAGTTTCCCACTTGCTTGGGAAACACTATGCCCCAAGCTACACTAGCCCTACTTGAAGATGATTTCAACGTTTTTCTCTCCAGCCCTCTTCTTCTGACTTTTGGCTGTGCACTTACCTTTCCTTTCTGTCTTTTCTGAAAAACGTTTTATTCTGTTTTTTGGGGGGTGTTTTGCCTGTGTGTCTGTATCGGAGAGGGTAGTGGGTCCCCCCGGAAGTGGAGTTACAGATGGTTGTGAGGTGTCATGTGGGTGCTGGGAATTGAACCAGGTCCTCTAGAAGAGCTGCCAGTGCTCTGAGGCATCTCTTCAGACCCTCTCTGTGTTGTCTTCATTCTCTGTCATTTTCTGTTTCAGAGAAGCCAGTTCCACCCAGTGTCTCCCATCCCTTCCGAGCCTGGAAGCCCAGGTCCTAGCAATTCCATCCGGTCACAGCAAGTTCGAGGCAGAAGGAGCCGAAGCCTTCTGTTTACACATGCTCAGAAAAGCTGAAGCCGGAGCCAGAGTGGCCTTCCACACTGTTCACTTCCCAGGTTTTTCTCGTTCCATTTGCTCTGTAACTCAATGACCTTATTGGCCAGGTCTCTCTTCTGCATATCAGAGTCACCTAAGCAAGGTCCCCGAGGTCAAGAAAGGCCTTCGTCCCCCTCAGCGGGACTCTAACCCCACTATGGAACAAGCTCAGGCGGAGCCCCCAGTCCCCAGCAAGGGCAGTAGTGCAGAAACTGGCGAATCTGAAAAACATGAGGTCCTGTCCGGACCAGAGAAGCACCCTCCGGACAACCCTCAGGACAAGGGTGGTGAATCTGAAAAACATGAGGCCCTGTCCGGACCAGAGAAGCACCCTCCGGACAACCCTCAGGACAAGGGTGGTGCAGAGGCTGATGGGGCAGCTGGAGAACGGGAGCCAGGAGACCAAGCTTTGCCACCAGCCCAGGATGGGGAAAATCTCGAGTGCCCTCCTCCTGAAGCTAGCTCAAGTCCGTGTGGGGCACCATCTGAGGTAGAGACAGTAGAGACGTGTTCCAGGCCACAGGAGCTTCCCCAGTCCCCCAGGACCCAACAGCCTGATGTAGAGTTCTACTGTGTCAAGTGGATCCCCTGGAAGGGAGAACAGACCCCCATCATCACCCAGAGCACCAATGGCCCTTGTCCTCTGCTGGCCATCATGAACATCCTCTTTCTTCAGTGGAAGGTAAGTACAGAGAGCGCAAGCCGTGGGCTTTGAGGTGCTGGGCAATGAAGATGGCCACAGATCTGCTGTTCAGATGTGCTTGGTCTGTTCACACAAATGTTCCTTAATACCATGCTAGGTAAAGGTTACTGCAGTCTCATGTACAAGACATCTTACCAAGTGGGAATGGTTGGTCCGGCAGATAATGATGCAGGGTGCCACTGGGGACTTCTCTCCAGTAAGAACACTTGGGGAGCTTTTTTTTCAAGCTCGCACATCTGTGGCAGGCCGGGAAGGTGGCTTTGTTGGAGGTCCCAGAAGGTCCCTGAGAGCATTGGCCAGCAAGCCCACAGGCCAGCGGCTAGCACTGACTGGTGGGCATGTGTGAGCTGGGCGCTGGTGCTGGAAACTTGAGGGTCTCTGAAGCCAGAGTCACACGGAGGCCAGTCTCTAAGTCCCCTTGTTGAGGGGTGTAAACACAGAAGCTTGAGATACCATGTCTCGGGAGCAGTGTGATCCTAGGGCTACTTCCAAAGTTCCAATTTTTTTATTATTCCAGTGAGCATTAGTTTTGCACTACTGGGGCTTGGAGCTCAGGGCAGTTTCACTGAGAAGTCGATGCTGCCTTGGGGTTGGTTCATCAGTATATCAGAGCCTGCCTTGTGGCTGGCTCAGCAAACAAAATGGTCTCACTTAGGTTCCTAACAGCAGGAGAGGCCTCCTATGGGGGTGGGGTAAGGAAATACTGGGGGTGTGCTGCTCTGACCCTCCTCCACCATCCTGATTTTTCTCAAGCCGGTCCTAAATTTACAGATCAGCCTTTGTCCAACTCCTGTGCTCCCTGCTTTACCTCACACTGGCAATGCTTGGCAGTATTCCCATCTCTTCCCCCGTCCCAGCATTGAGCCCTGCCCCCTCTTCTGTCCTACCACTCCGTCTCTCTCCCCTTCTTTTTTTGTTTGTTTTGTTGTTTTGTTTTTTGAGATAGTGTCTCGCTAGGTAGCCTTGACTGGCTTGAAATTCACTCTGTAGCCCAGGCTGGCCTCAAACTCACAACAAATCCACCTGCCTCTGGCTCCTCGGTGCTGGGATTAAAGGTGTGCACCATCACACCCGGCTGCTTTTGGGGAATCTGATGCTATGAAGCAGGCTGTCCTCACTCCTCCTGCCTCAGTTTCTTGAATACTAGAACTGTAGTCATGAGCCACCAGGCCTAGCTTGGCCCCCCTCCTTCTGTGTTCCTCCTTCACTGCTGGTAGTAGAAGCTCACATCTGACCTCCCTTCTCCCCAGGTGAAGCTGCCCCCTCAGAAGGAAATGATCACATCAGACGAGCTCATGACCCATCTTGGTGAGTGACTTACGGAGGAGGGGCTCATTTGGAGCTCTGATGTGGTATTGTGGGCCAGGAAGAGTCCGAGTCTTTTCTGTAAAGCTGGAGAGTAGGAAGCAAAGCTCGAGGGATCGGGACTTTAGAGTTAGCACCATTCTGCCTATCGTTACTGCCCTCCCACCCCTATTCCTGGTGCTAGGGGTCACGGTCCTGGGCAAGCACTGCACCACCGAACTGTAGCCCCGGCCTCTGTCCTTAGCTTTCAGTTAGGTGGGTCTGTCACCTCCCGAAGTCTGTTTATTCCTCTGAGAAATTAAAATTCTGGATTGGAGTTTGGAAACCCATGGTCCTGAGACATTACCCCCATCTCCAGAAGAGGAGGAAGCCAAGCTTTTGGGACGACTGGCAGGGTAGGTTGGGTAGGCTGATAAGTTTCCTATCTTACAGGAAACTGCCTCCTATCCATCAAGCCCCAGGAGAAGTCTGAGGGCCTTCAGCTTAACTTTCAGCAGGTGAGGCAAGAGGGCAGTGGACATAGGGTGGACGTAGTAAGCCTTAGTGGGTGATTCCTTTATCTTGGTATCTTCTCTGCGGGGAATGGCATCTCTGTCCTGAAAAAAAAAATATATTCGTTTTTATATTAGATAAAGAGGGATCGAGGCAGCTCAGCATAGTGTTGTACGCACGCCTTTAGTCCCAGCATTCGGGAGGCAGAGGCAGGCTATCTCTGTGAGTTCGAGGCCAGCCTGGTCTACACAGTGAGTTCCAGGACAGCCAGAGCTATATAGTGAGACCTTGTCTTGGGGGGAAAAAAAGAGGGGATTGAAATAAATGGGTTGTAAGAAAGCCAGAGATGAAAAACCAGGATTTTAGCCGGGCGATGGTGATGCATGCCTTTAATCCCAGCACTCAGGAAGCAGAGGCAGGCGGATCTCTGTGAGTTCGAGGCCAGCCTGGGCTACAGAGTGAGATCCAGGTCAGGAACCAAGACTACACAGAGAAACCCTGTCTCAGAAAAAAAAAAGAAAAAAGAAAAGAGAAAAACCAGGCTTTCTGATTTGTCTGGATGGTGGGAGGGAGAGGGAGGGCTAGACTGGCCATCCTTGTCTTTCCTCCCACCAGAATGTGGATGACGCCATGACCGTGCTCCCTAAACTGGCCACAGGTCTGGATGTCAACGTGCGATTTACGGGCGTCTCTGACTTTGAGTACACACCCGAATGCAGCATCTTTGACTTGCTGGGCATACCTCTGTACCATGGCTGGCTTGTTGATCCACAGGTGAGGACGGGAGGCCCCGTGAGTCTCCACCGGGTCAAGCTGGCATGAATAAGGCAACAAAACAAAACAAAAAGGCAGGGGGCATCTAGAAAGGGAGGGGTTTGATTATTTGAGGAGGGTTAGGATTTAGAGACTGAACTGATGCAGAATTCCTTGAATGTTAATATTGTTGGGTGGAGTCACTTTCCAGTACAAGGAAACCACACACAAATAAGATCAGGGCTTTGGACATCAAAAGTTCAGGAATCTTTGATCACAAAGTCACATCCAATGGGCTTGGTTCGTTTCCTTCCTTTAAAAAAAAAATCAGTTTATTTTTGTCCCACCCTGTCCTGCTCCCCAGAGTCCTGAGGCTGTGAGTGCTGTTGGGAAACTGAGTTACAACCAGCTGGTAGAGAAGATCATCACCTGTAAACACTCCAGTGACCCCAACCTCGTGACAGAAGGTGATGGTGATGTCCTCTTTCCTTGAGATCTCATGTAAAGGATGGCTGAGTAGGCTTGTTATTCTTGTTTTGTGTGATAAAGAGAGAGAGAGGGGAACTTTATTTAATTTTTTGGGGGGTCGGGGGAGATATACAGAGCGCATGTAGTTCAGGCTGGCCTTGAAATCAATACATAGCCCAGGTAGGTCTCAAACTCCTGCCCTTTCTGCCTCAGCCTTCTGAGAGCTCAGCTCACAGGTGTGCACTGGCTCCCCTAGCTGTATCGACTGAATGAACAAATATAGTCAGACTTTAAGGAAGGGTTTTTATCTCAACTCTGTGGACAGGGGTGCAACAGGATCTCCTATAGCCTAGGCTGGCTTTGTAACTAAGGGTGATTTTGAACCTCTGATCCTCCTGCCTCCAGCCCCCAAGTACCAGGATCACAAAACATTCATTATCAAGCTTCAACTTGCATGTGTATACGTTGCTGGGAATCAGGCCTAGGGCCTTGTCCATGCTGAGCCTAGAGTCTAAATCGGAACCATACCCCAGGGTGGGGTTTGGGCTTTACCAAGCGGGGCTCTGGATGCTCCTGGGGCTTCTTGGACAAACCTCCTCACCTTGTTTTGTTTGCTTTGGGGCTGTGCTGGCGGTTGACAGGGGGTCTCGCTGTGTAGCCCTGGGCTAACCTGGAACTGCTGTGTGGAGATGTTACCCTTGGACTCACAGAGACCAGCCTGCCTCTGCCTCCGCGGTGCTGCCGACACTAAAGGCGTGCGCTGCCATACCCAGGACTGAACTCAGGAACCTTTTGTGTTTGTTAAAGATCTAAAATGGAGCCGGACCCCCAGGCCTTTTGATGTGTTTTGCGTTTTTCCTATCGTGGGTTTGGGTTTAATCCGCGGCTCGCCCGTTTTATGCCTTCTGGCAGGCTTGATTGCAGAACAGTTCCTGGAGACCACTGCGGCGCAGCTGACCTACCATGGCCTGTGTGAGCTTACAGCATCTGCTAAGGAAGATGAACTCAGTGTCTTTTTTCGAAACAACCACTTTAGCACGATGACGAAGCACAAGGTGATGGGGCTTTGGAGGAGGGGAGAAGGAACAATGTCATTTCCCTGAGCCTTTTTCTCTGGGCTCCATGTGTCAGGCAGGATACAGTGGGTTAGTCATGGTAACAGATAACCCCTAGAATCCTTGTGGTTTACCACAAGTGTTTGTTTCCAATCCATGATGCATGTCCTGCCTCACAGCGTCTTCACTCTGGGACTCAGGTGGACGGAAAAGCTTTCGTCTATGTGGGAGTAGATGCAAGAAAGGATGATGCGGTGTGTTTATTCTCTGCCTCTGCCTGGAGATGACCCTGAGCAGAGCAGGTCCTGCGGACATGCTGTCAAGGGACGGGTGTGTGTGTGTGTGTGTGTGTCGGGGGGGGGGGGGGGGGGGTGTCTTTAGAACACACAATAGTCTTTCAGAGTTAGAAGCTGAAGCCCCCTAGGAACTGAGGAGAAGAGGCTGGTCCTGCCCACTCCCCATGTAGACTCTGCTTATGCAGCCCTGGCTAGCCCGGAACTCAGGTCTGCCTGCATCCTGTGCTGGGATTAAAGGTGTGCACTGTCACACTGGGCCTCGCCTTGAACTTTTGATCTTCCTGCCTCCCTCCCAGGGGCTAAGGTTGTAGTCGTGCATCACCACACCCAGTTTTTCTGGTTCGCAAAAGGCTTTACCTCTGCAACATGAGCAGACACAGAGAAGCCAGGGTAGGGAACTGGGTTTGGTGTGGTACTCCAGCCTCAAGGATTCCTTAGCCAGGGGAATCACAACACACTCACCTGCGTTTAGGTGTCCTTTCCTGCTCCCCACAGCCACACATATTTAAGGAAATTTGGGATGCTCACAGTGCTAAGCTCCACTCAGCACGCTGATTCAGAGGGTCTCTTGACTGCCGCTCACCTGTAAAGTGCCCCTGTCCCATCAATGTGCTCTCTCTCAGCTTGTGGGAGGAGTGTGTAAGGGGTGCGTGCTGGGGATCAGATCCAGGGAACTTGACCTTGCCAGGCCACTGTGTGACGCGTACACTAGCCCCATTGTCTTTCTCTTTGCATGGCAGAGTCACTTGTACCTACTGGTCACCGACCAGGGTTTTCTTCAGGAGGAGCAGGTGGTGTGGGAGAGCCTGCATAACGTGGATGGCGACAGTTGCTTTTGTGACTCTGACTTCCACCTGAGTCACTCCCTAGGCAAAAGCCGTGGAGCCGAAGGTGGGGGCAGCTCTCCAGAGAAGCAGCTGCAGGTGGACCAGGTGTGTGGGGCCCTTCCGAATGGGGTGGAATCCACCGGCATCTGAGCTGTTTTCTATACGTGAACTTCATGCATTTTATCGGCTAAAGGCTGCCCCACACAGCCTCTTCCTGTCACCCTTAGGTTATTGCCTTGCTTGGGTGTATTTCCTGGCCACCACAGATAACAGACTTGACTGTTTTACATGAGCGAGAAAAGCTGGAGAATTTGAAGGAAATGTGGTTTAGAAATTTAGCCTGAATCTCTAAACCTTTGGTCTTAATCCACCTCGTGACTTGTTTTCTCTCTAGGACTATCTTATTGCCTTGTCCCTACAACAGCAGCAGCAGCCACAAGGCATGCTGGGTCTTAGCGACCTGGAACTGGCCCAACAGCTCCAACAAGAGGAGTACCAACAGCAACAGGCAGTTCAACCTGCGCCAACCAGGGCCCCTTCTCCCCAGGTGAGCCCGCCCCTCTCTTGGTAGGCAGAGGTTCTGGCTTTTCCTGGTGCAGAATGCATATGGTTTTTGTACAGGTATCTGCAAGCATTCCCTCGTAAATCCTTCTGAGGTACCTCTTTTGATCAAGACGACCCCCCCATGTCTTTGACCTCTACCAAGGTTATCAGATAACTAGTTGTTAAATCCCACACAGGGGAGAGGAACCACATCTGGACGCCCAGCTGGAGAGCGGCGGCAGAGGTCAAAGCCTGAGTCAGACTGTGTTCTGCTCTAACTGTACCCCTTACAGCGTGGACCCGCCCCTCCTGTCAGAGGCTGACTGGTTCGCTCGCAGGATCCCCCACTTCAACCCCTGAGGCATACGGGGTAACTGTACTGCTGGGGATCACAGCAGGCAGCAGACACCAAGGGCGGACTCGGTACCACGCTCATCCTTCTCTGTCCTGTCTTCTACTCCAGCCAGGGCCACATGGGGCTGGACTGGGTGGTCTCTGGTTCCCAACTCCCTTTCCTGGAATATTCACATGAATATACAGACCCAGGCTGATAGGTGAAGTACCTCTCTGCCTGCCTGGTTGCCCCTGGCTACCCTACAGGCCAGTTTCCGTTTGTTTTAGGGTTTGATTTGGGTTTCTATCTTTATTATTTGTAATGCCTTCCTAGGGAGTTGGGAATAAAACTTCTTTCCTGAGATACGCTGTTTTCCTGCCCTGGAGCAGTCGGGTTAAATATTTGGCTCAGCTGAGGAATGTGAACTGACAGGAGGCAGGGAGGCGAGAGGTTGCCTGTCATTTCTCACAGAGCCAGCAGGGGGAACCCAAACGCTGCCTCTTCCTCAGTTTTAGTAGAGTTCTGGGGGAAGTGCTGCTCTCAACTGTAGTTGGAAGTGTGTTTCCAAATCCCTGCGTGGACAGGTGAATGGGGGGAAATGTTACTGAGACTTCCACGGCTGGGAGTTCATGTGGAGGGCCCTTAGATGGCCCGTTGCTAGTTCTGATCCCCTGGTGCCTATTCTTGATTATCTTGCCGACGATTTCCTGGGGAGGAGAATGATGAGGTTCCAGGGAGATTCAGAGGGTGGGGTATATTGATAACGGACAAGTGCCCGGCTGGGGCAAAAACAGGATTCCCATTGAATAGTTAAATGTACTTCAAAGACGCCTGCAACTCCAGGGCCTCTTCCTGGCCCACGTCCTGATCCACCCTAATTTTAACAAGGAAACATCAAAAGACAGAGAATTTGCCAAAAGGTTCAGCTACCAGGGAGATGTTCTGGCCATGGTATGGATTGATGAGTAGGGCCAACACTATCAAAGACTTCCTATTTCTCCCCCCCAAAATGGAGCTAGAAGACACCACTTTGAGATGAGGGGAATCCAAGGGTATGGAAGAAATTTAGAGCCGGGTAGTGGTGGCACACGCCTTTAGTCCCAGCACTCGAGAGGCAGAGCCAGGTGGATCTCTGTGAGTTCGAGGCCAGCCTAGTCTACAGAATGAGATCTAGGATGGGCACCAAAACTACACAGAGAAACCCTGTCTCAAAAAAAAAAAAAAAAAAAAAAAAAAAAAATTAGAGGTCCAGCCTCTAGAGGAAGTTAGGGTATATGGGGTTCCTTGGGAGTCTCCCATGTATTCAACCAAATATGGGACTCTCAGACTCTTGAATGTCCTGTCAGGGTGGATCCAAAAGGTCTCAAATGTCTTCAGCTCTGCACAGGGCCAGTAGGGCTGAGTGATAATCCCCTCTGACTGCATCCTGCAGGTGAGGGAATCGGTATTAGAAAAACTCAGTACCACCAGTCATGGTCCAACTTCTAACCCCACCTGTGCTGAAAAATAGCTCATGACCAAGGAAAGACTGCTCTCTGTTGCCTGAGTCCCACACTCAATGAAAGGAAAGGTGGGTGGAGCGGGGAACTAGGACGTCAGGGCTCCAGACGTTGCCTAATTTTGTCTGGTTGTGGTGGCGTACCCTTTTAATCTCAGCACTTGGGCACTTAGGAAGCAGAGGCAGGTGGATCTCTGAGTTCGAGGCCAGCCTGGTCTATTGAATGGGTTCTAGGGCAGCTAGGGCTACACAGAGAAACCCTGTCTTGAAGAAAGAGAGAGAAAGAAAGAGTGAGCGAGCTAAATTTCACCTGGAGAGAAGAATACAGAGACTTCCCAAATTTCTTCTTGAACTCGGCCCGAATGCTTAGAAGATCAGTCTCGCTTCGGGAGATGAGGACTCGCATCAGCACTTGGAAATTGGGCTCAGTTTCCTGGTACAGAAACAGAGAGGGGAGTGTGAGGCAGGTAGTTAGGGGATAGTCTCTTCAAGGGAAGGGGTGAATGGCATGCATGGATGGGTAGGAACTAGAGGCAAGAGAGAGCTAAGGAGAAGCCATAATCTCAGAGTCACTGTCTACACCCACAAAAGGATAATGAGTAAATATGTTTTCTGTCCTTCCTTTTTTGTGGTACTGGGGGGTCAAACCCAGGGCCTTAAACATGCAGTTATCACTGAGCTACATCCTCAGGCTGCTGCTGCTGCTTCTGCTTCTTCTGCTTCTTCTTCTTCTTCTTCTTCTTCTTCTTCTTCTTCTTCTTCTTCTTCTTCTTCCTCCTCCTCCTCCTCCTCCTCCTCCTCCTCCTCCTCCTCCTCCTCCTTCTCCGACAGGATCTCAGCATATACCTCAGGCTAGCCTCAAATTCACAGAGTGCTGAGACTAAAGGTATTAGCCACCATGCCCAGCCCAGGTCTGTTTCTATGTGTATGTGTATGTGTGTATATCTGTGTGAGTGTATGCCACATGTGTGCAGATGCCTGTGGAGGTCAGAAGAGGGTCTTATATCCCGTGGAGCAGTTGTGAACTGCTGGACATGGGTCCAAGAACCAAACTTGGGTCCTCTGGAAGAGCAAGAAACTCTTAACCACTGAGCCATCTCTCCAGCTCCATGTTTTTGTTTTTGACACTGTCTCATGTACCCTAGACTGACCTTTAACTCACAGATCCACTTACCTCTCTGCCTCTAGACTATTTGGATTTAAGGTATGGGCCACCATGTCTGACAAGCCTTGAACTCTTGGATCCTCTTGTTTCTGCTTCTCAAGTTCTGCGATTACAAGTGTGTGTCTCTTGGCTAGCCTGACTCCTAAAATATACCTGACATTTATATGTCATATATATAATTATATGACATATATATAATTCCAATCTCATAATCCTAATATACTAAGCTGTGTGTTTGTTTCCTTTTATGTGTGTGCCTCATGGGCTCTCCCACCAAGCCACTCCTAGCCCACAGATTTGTTTTTATATCAGGAACTCAGACAGATAACCACAGGATTTCAAATGATTCCTGGTGTTGACTCATTATAATGAGCCAGGCTTTATCAGTTAAGTATAATAATAATCTGTTGTCAAGATGGAAATCTCTGGATGATTGAGCAAGGGCATCTATAGACTGCCCTAGGAATGACTAGTCATCAGTGGGGCATGATGCTGAAGGCTTCTCTGTCTGCCAAAATGTGATAACTCCAACCTTTCCTGTATTACACCTCCTTTTTTATTTTTATTTATTTACTTTTGTTTTTTCAAGACAGGGCTTCTCTGTGTAGCCCTGGCTGTCCTGGCACATGATCTATAGACCAGGCTGGCCTTGAACTCAGAGATCTGCCAGCCTCTGCCTCTCCAGTGGATTGAAGGTGTGTGCCATCACTGACGAGCTATCACACTTCCTTTAACTACACATGTACATATTCTCAGAGGAGGCCTAGTTTATCTAGGAGAATGACTAGATTCTGTTGGTATAATTACTCAAACCATAGTGATCACTTTCTAGATAAATAATACACCAGACACTATGTGTTGTGTTTTGTTTTTCTTTTTGAGACAGGGTCTCTCACAATGTAGCCCAGGCTGTCCTGGGACTCCCTATACAGACCCACCTGGTCTCAAACACAGATCCGCCTGCCTCTGCCTCCCGTGTGCTGGGATTAAAGGTGTGCGCCACCACCACGCCTGGCCCGGCTCCCCAAGCATCTCGTAGAGTGGCGCAGAGATGGTAGTTGGGGACCTGGGTGTATGCAGCAAGTGTTCTACTGCCACACTTTGCTCAAGCTTGAGGGTAAGTAATAGGAATGAAATCCAGCCAAGGTGGCCTGGTGTGGTAGCATACCCCTTTAATCCCAGCACTTGGGAGAGGCAGAGGCAGACAGATCTCTGAGTTAGAGGCCAGCCTGGGCTACATAGAGAAACCTTGTCCTGAAAAACCAAATAAATAAATAAACCTAGCCAATGTGGAGAAAGGAGGCCCAGGTTGCTCAGGGCATTCACTGTCTCTTTGTTCATGTTTTTCATCTAATTGAACAAGGACAGGGCATAGTTGTGAAGGTTAATTGAAATTAACCTGGAGACAGCTGCAAAGTATAAGAGGTCCTGGCTGGCCTGGGACTTACGATGCTCCTCCTGCTTCTGCCTCCCGAGTCCTGGGATTATGGGCTTTCACCACCAGGCCCACCTATTACACAGCAGTGCTTCTCAACCTGTGAGTTGCGACCCCTTTGGGGTCTAAAGACCATTTCAAAGGGGCCACATATCAGCTATCCTGCATGTCAGATATTTACATTATGATTGATAACAGAGAAAAATTACAGTTAGGAAGCAGCAATGAAATAATTTTATGGTTGGGGGTCAGCACATGAGGAGCTGTATTCAAGGGTTGCAGCGTTAGGAGGGTTGAGGACCGTGGGGGACAGTTACCACCTTCACCTCTGACAACACTGGACAAAGGAAACTCTGTTTTGGGTACATAGACACTAAGACAAAGTTAAACTGTAGTGCCTGGAGGGTGACTTAGTTCTAACCGGAGCTCACTCCTCTACCCATGACAAGACAGTCTGTAACCAGGGAAGATGGTAGCTTGTAGGTTCCACCACACTTGGATCTGAAGGGCAGGACCGTAAGCAGTATGCCTCTTACCTGAAGGGCTTGGTGAAGTTTGTCAGCAAAGTACAGGGCTGTGTTTCTCATTATGGAAGCTAGAAGCGGAGGTGAGAGGGTAGAGAGCCGTGTCTAGGGCTCCAGCTTCCCATCCCAGTAAAACCCCTCCATACATCCTGAGTAGGTACCTACCGAGGCTGAGCAGAGCCTGCTGAGCATCTCCATGGAAACAGTTCCGGATAGCATCCTCCAACTCTTGCCCAGTGCATCTCCGATACTGATCAAATACTTTTGGTATGTGTAGGGCGTGGTTAGAAAGGTGAGTTGGTGTGGGGCTGTTACTCACCACAGGGAAGGGTGACTCTCCCTCCCCACCACTGGCTGCCACACTCATCAATAGAGCAAGCTGGGTGGGGATAAGGAAGCTTGGGTACCTCGGATAAGGTGTTCAGGACTCCGTTGTGTAAAGATCAGGACCCATTGACCTGCCATACTGGATCCTCCGGTCTGCTGGAGTGCCTAGGGAAGAGGAAGGAGTCAGTGAGGATTGGGGTAGGATCATTGTTTGGAGCCTGGAAGCCATGGTTAGGATGTCCCCTGTGGTGAAGGAAATGGGACAGAGAGAAAAGGGATAATTTAATCTCTGCACTAGGGAGGCAGAGGCAGGCAGATTTCTGAGTTGGAGGCCAGCCTGGTCTGCATAATGAGTTCTAGGACAGCCAGAGAAACCCTGACTCAAAAAATTAAATAAGTAAAAATAATAAAAAGAGGAAGAATTAAGAAAGGGGCTCTAGCCGGGCGGTGGTGGTGCACACCTTTGATCCAGCACTTGGGAGGCAGAAGCAGGTGGATCTCTGTGAGTCTGAGGCCAGCCTGGTCTCCAAATTGAGTTCCAGGATAGCTAGAGCTACACATAGAAACCTTGTCTTGAAAAACAAAAACAAACAACGAAAGAAAGAAAGAAAGAAAGAAAGAAAGAAAGAAAGAAAGAAAGAAAGAAAGAAGAAAGAAAGAAAGAAAGAAAGAAAGAAAGAAAGAAAGAAAGAAAAGAAAAGAAAGAAGAAAGACAGGGGGCTCTACTTAGCTGCTCTCACAAGGAACTAATCCCCAAGAAGAGGAGGCTTGCTTGATCCAGTGCCCACAGGAGGGGAATCTGCGAGCAGATGCGATTGTATTCTTTGAGCTCAGGAGGCAGAGGCAAAGAAGACAGCCGGGTTTGCAGCACAGAGGGGCCACGGGGTCTGGGCCACGGAGGGGCCACGGGGGTCTGGGCCCTCAGACGTGGTACAAACTGTACATGGCTATGCAAGCTCAATTCCTTTTGCTCACCCGGACATCTTGTTCTTCCAAGTTGTAGTCAATGATTCCAGAGTATCTCTCACGGCCCCCCTAAGTGGAGACACTGTTCTCAGGTTTCGTGGAAGAGCAGAGTTTTGTCCAGACCCTGGTCTCTCCGAAGCTCTCCCTTGTCACAGGACAGCAGGACTCCCTACTCTGGCCCATCCCCAGCCCGAGGAGCACAACTCCCTTCCCTGGCAGGCCGAGGCTCACCTTGCTCAGGGCCAGGAGCAGGGTCCTGCAAGATGCCATTGGTCTCAGTTCTGATATCTTCCTCAGCCTCCACCTGGAAATCTGGGGCAGGGGCAGAAGCCTTTTGACTCCTTCTGAATTTTCCCAGGGTAGATAGCTTTAGGACTTGTCACGTGTTGGACAACTGGGCCCTCACAGTCCTCCTCCTCTTGTTTTCAAAGATTTATGTTTTTATTTATTTGTATAGGGGCTTGCCCAGGGAGGCTAGAGGTGCCCTTGGAGCTGGAGTTGCAGGGGGTTGTGAACCATCCGACGTGGGTGCTGGGGAACCGAACTCAGGTCCTCCTTATGCTCTGAGCTGCTGAGGCGCTGCTCCAGCCCCCTACCATCCATCTCTCTCCTATGCAGAGTAGCTTGATGGCTGGTGTCTCCCAGGATGGGAGACGTGGGTGCCATCGTGGCTACTCTGAAAACATTCCTAAGTTGTGAGTAGTGGAAGTGGCTTCATCCCCAAACCTTCCCACTGGGAACTCCATCCGTTGTTAGACAGCCAGGAGTGACTAGAGACAGGGGATCCCAGATCATGAAGCAAGCTGCTTAGGGCCGAGCCCTCTGTCTACTGTTCAAGAAGTGGGGGTGTGAGGTAGGGGATGAAGCAGAGAGTGAGCAGGAGTGGGGAAGAGAGGAGAATGAAGACTCCAGGAGAGCACTTGCCCAGCATGTGCTGAAACCCTGGGTCCAAGCTCTAGAACAGAAAGAAAGGAGGAAGGAAGAGAGAAAACGAAACGTCCGTCATGGAGGCCCATGCCTGTAAGCCCAGCACTGGGGGGCTGAGTCGTGAGGACCATGAATTCAAAGCGTTTCATCTACGTGAAACTATAATGTCTCAGGAGAGGGGAAGAAACAAAAAAAGAAAGGTGGAAACAGAACCAAGAGGAGCTCCCTAGAGGGAGGAGAGGGTTGAGAACACAGAGCAGCGTGAGCCATGAAGCAGTGAAAACTGGAGAGGACCTGTGATGGGATGAGAGGAGGGTGGGAAACGCTGCTCCCGAATGAGTGGGTGAGGCAGGGTCTGATGGGTGACAGCATGACTCACAAAAGGTCACCACCTGTCCCCCAGGCAGCAGCAAGGGGCTGCTGTTTCAGTACTAACTAATGTCATTACTGTGAGGTTTGCCCTAGGGCTCCAGACTAAGTTAATCATTGTTTCTCTTTAATGATCACCTGTGGCTCTCTCCCCTGGGGAGACTGAGGCACTGGCAGTGGGGGGGGGGGTGTGGTGTGTGACCGTGCTAGGAGCAGAGACCTTCGCAGAGGGAATAGAATTTGGTCAGTCAGGGTTCCAGATCTGCAAGGACCGTCGGAGAGGAGTGGATTGCCCCCACACCCTTCGACTCGTGGGGACCCCCCCATACATTCTTACCGTGCTGATATACTGCCAGACACTCCTGCAGTCGGGGCGCTGCTCGGGTGGCCAGGATCTCCAAGGCCACATCCTCAGCAGAACCCGAGGCCTGCAAGAGATTGTGAGGCCACTTGACACTGGACCATATCGTTAGCCCAGCAAGATGGCAGACAGAGGGCTGGAGAGCAGGCACCCATAGGGGTTGAGGGGTCTCTAGGCCCAATCTCTGGAGAGGTCAAGGCCAGTGGGCCGCCCTCCCTCTCACTTGTGTCCTTGTTCCCAACAAGGCAGCAGCTGTCCTCTCCCGGTACCTTCAAGGCCGTCCTCAGTTCCTGGGCATCAAACTGGGCTGCGGGTTGTAGGAGGGCAACCACAATTTTTTCGAGGTGGCCAGAGAGTGCCGCCTGCAAAGACTTCAATAGATCCTGCGTATGTGGGCCACAGACAGACAGACAGACAGACAGAGGTCAAGGAAGGCCCCAATCATGGGAAGCTTAGGCTGATTGTTATCCCAGCCTTGGCCACCAAGTCCCGGATTAGCCAAAGGGAGGGGCCGGCCACGGCTGGCGCTCAAGCCCTCCAGGGGGTCTCCACCCTGTCTGTCTCCAGCTCCCCACCTGTTTGGTTCGCTCTTGGAAGGCTCGAGAGATGAGCTGTCTCTGCTCTCTGCTCCGATTGGTCAGTACCTCCACAATGGTGCTGTGGTCCACACCTGGACCAAGACCAAAACCAGGCTGCCACGAGGGAGTTCACGGTTGTGAATTCCCAACTCTTCCAGGAAGAGAAGACCAGGGGCTACTTCATCCCTACTAACACTTGTTCTTAAGGGCAATGCAAAGAAAATGTCAAAAACATTCAGAGAGCCGGCAGGGGCACTCGGGGGGATCTCTGTGAGTTTGAGACCAGCCTGGACTACAGAGTGAGTTCTAGGACAGCCAGAGCTACACAGAGAAACCCTGTTTTGGGGGAAGCGGGGGGGGGGGGGGGGGGGGGGGGGGGTGGGGTGGTGGGGGGGGTGGGGGTGGTGGGGGGGGGGGGTGGGGGTGGGAATAAATAAATCTGACTCAAATCCTAATTCAGGCAAAAGTGACCTAGTTATGGTGGTTCAAAAAAAAAAAAAAAAGGGGAAGAAAGAAAAGAAAACCATAAATGAAATAAAATATTTTAAAGGGCTTTTTTGGGTGGGGGCCCATTAATTTGCCTTAGAATCCCAGCTCTCCTGTTATAAGCTATGTGACCTTGTGCAAGCTTCTTGATCTCTCTGGGGCCCCGGTTTCCTCATGTGTGGAAGGGAAACAATAAGCCTGACCTGACAAGGGTGGTGTGAGAGGGGGGTGACACACCACCGCAGAACTTGACATGCTAGAATCAAGTATTTCAACAATACTCCCAGAACAATCACCAGCTCCACCTCCTTCAGGCTCCTTAAAAAGATGTTTTTAAAGCCAGGTGGGTGGTGGCACATGTTTTTTAATCCCAGCACTCAGGAGGCAGAGGCAGGTGGGTCTCTGAGTTCCAGGCCAGCCTGGTCTACAGAGCGAGTTCTAGGACAGCCAGGACTACACAGAGAAACCTGTCTCAAAAAAAAAAAAAGATTTTTAAAAAACATTTATTTATTTAATAAGTGTGTGGTGGTGGGATGAAGAACACTAGCTTTTCTTCCAGGGGACCCAGTTCAAGTCCCACATGGTGACTTACAACCATCTGAAACTCCAGTTCCAGGGGCTCTGACCCCCCTCTTCTGGCCTCTGTGGGCACCAGGCTTGCTTGTCACAGTATGCACAGACATAGATACAGGGCAAAATAAACATACACATAAAATAAAAGTAAAATACTAAAGTTTTAAAGAGAGAGAGAAAGGAAGAAAGAGGGAAGGCAGACAGACAAAGCAGACCAGCAGTGAGGCATGATGGCTCTTGCCTGTAATCCCATCACTTGGGAAACTGATGCAGGGAGGATTACTACAAACTTGAAGCCAGCTGGAGATACGGAATGAGACCCTGTCGGGTGTGGTGGCACACACCCTTGACCCCAGCACCGGAGAAGCAGATGCAGGTGGATATGAGTTGGAGGCCAGCCTGGTCTCCGTAGTGAGTCCAGGCTAGCTAGTGTTACAAATGAGACCCTATCTCAAAATAAAACAATAAAATAAAATAAAAACCAGAGCAACAATGAAAGGTAGACCCTAAACACCAAGGGCAGGAGCTTACCTTGGCCTGTAATGGCCTTCAGCAGCTTCTGAACATCCTTGTCCACACTGAAGCTCAGGAAAGTCCTGAGGGTGCCCAGGGTCCCCCAAGCTGCAGTCTGCAGGAGCATGAGAACATGGTATCACGAGGAGGGGAACCTCCCTTCCTCCTCCTTCCAGTGTGTGTGTGCGTGGGGGTCAGAGGACGAGGGAGGTGCACTCTCTGCTTCCATATGGGTCCTAGGGATCGAACTCGGGTTGTCAAGGCTTCCGCCCAGCTGAGCTATCTCTCCAATGCCGTTTCCACTTTCCTCTTCCCCAACATCTCCTGGCCCCTGAGAGGACCCATTAAAATTTATTGTTGGGGCTGGAGATGTGGCTCAGTGGTAGAAGCACTAACCTGTCAAGTATAAAGCAAGACCAATCACCAGCACCACTGAATAAATAAATACGTTTCTGAAGTCCCAACAGCTCCTACCTTGTTGGCAAGGCCCAGGGAGCTGAGGATCTCCTGGGTCAGGGATGCGCCCATTCTTCCGCTGCTCACAGACATAGTTCAACTGGCTTCCCTGCGGGAGGAGACAGGAGTTAGCTGAGGGAATGTCCCACTTGGGCCTGCTGACGGCCTCTAATGTGGCCTGGACTCTCTCAACCCATTCCTTTCCTTTGTTGCAGAAAATAAATGAATGGATAATGGCGTTTTGAACTGCTCTGCAGGCGTGAGGATGGAGGAGGAGGGCAATGGGAAGAGCCTCCCTTCCCTGCTTTCTCCTTCCTTTCCTAAGCCAGGTCTGGCTGGGGAGGCACTTAACAACGGTTTCCCTCCACCCAAGGCCCCCGAACCCTCAGTCTGAGAGGATGCCCCCTTCCAAGGCTCAGGTCCCCTCCCTTTCCTGACTTCTCAGGCAGCTGAGGTGAGGTGGCATAAGGATGGACAGGTGGGAGGCAGCTCCAGTCACACCTCCTCCGCACAGGTGAGCTCCAACCCCTACCTGAAGAGCTGCTTCCTGCCTGCCTGTCCTTCCCCCCCGAGGAGTCTCAGGTGGGTTTTTAGGTCAGCAAACGTATTCTGGGCTGATGGAGGCGTCCTTGTAGGAACATGGGTACCTGGGCATAGACTAGACTCTCTCATGCGGGGAAAGGAGCACAACACTCCTCCTCCCTCAATCAGTAAGTCCTCCCTCCCCCCAGATAAGGGCTCAGTTCCAGGACTTACCCCAAAGGTGCTAGAGGTGAGGTGGGTGTTGTGGCCGTTGTGGGCACCAGCTCCTGTGTAGCCTGGTGGTGGAGAGGAGTGAGGAGCCCGGGCTGAGCAGCCAGCCAGATGACCTCCCTTGCGGACCAGCCCAGTTGTTGTCTCTGACTCCAGCCCCTCCCAGACGTGGGAGAGGACCAGGCTGTACAGGGTCTACCAGCAAACACCTCCCTGCCCAGCATCTCTCCTCCCAGGAACTGGCCCTTAACCCACGCCACTGAACTCTGCTCAGTCTCTCAACTCAGCCAAGGACACAAGAGGCTTTGTGCGTTGCTTTCCCTGCGGGGCCAGCTTGGGACCGCAGAAACCTAGCCTCCCGTCTTGCTTCTGACCTGGCCCTACCACTGACTCCAACTCCCTGGGGGTAAAGGGGAGGGGGGGGGACAAGGGGAATGTAGGTCAGGCAGGCTCCAGGCTGATTTCAAGGTTGATAGAGAAAAACCTGTTGGGACACATACCATCAGGGCACCCCAGCCTGCACCCCACAGGGGGTCCCGGCCCAGAAGTTCTGTGATTATGCCTCAGGAGAACCACCCGCCAAGGGTAGGGAGGCAGGCGAGGGGATTGTTTCTATCTGTGGGGAAGGGAGGGCACACAGGTAATCAGGGGTGAGAGCAGAGCCACAGAGTCAGGAAAGAAAAATGCAGAGGGTGTTCCCTGTAGACCGGCACCGTGGGAGCGCTGTGCTCCCAAAGGCCGCCAGCAGATGGAGGAGGATCCCAGGGCCCGGATTTCTCAGTCTCCTTCAGCCTTTTAGCTGCCAGTGTTTCTTGGCTGTTCAGGCTGCAGGTGATACAGTCCCAACAGCTAAGCCTGAGGCTGTTGGCACACAGAAGCAGGTGCTCAATCCTTCTGAGCCTCAGGGATCCTGAGTGGTTGCTCAGCCCTTTGGGCTGGCTCCGGGCTGGCTCGTAAGGCTGGGGGAGCCAGCCGTCTATTTCCTGCCTCCAGTCTTCCGCTGTTCTCCAAACCCGGGGTGATCCTCCTTGATCTCCCAGAAGGAGAGGGTTACAGTACATCTACTGCTACCCCACACAGGAAACGCGTGGGGACACTGGTAATGAAGCTCCACGATGGCAATCATATTCTGATTTTCTCCCTCACTAAAGTGGAAAACATACTCCAATTTTAGAATCAGAGGATGCATGGTCAATCTCTAATTTCGAATTTATTTATTTACTTGTTTATTTATTTTTGAGACAGGGTCTCTCTACATAGTCTGGGCTGTCCTGGAACTTGCCTCTGCCTCCTGAGTGCTGGGATTAAAGGCGTGTGCCATCACACCCAGCAATCTCTAATTCTTAAATTTTTCTTTTTCTTCTTTTTTTTTCTTTTTCTTTTAAAGATTTATTATGTTTACAGTGTTCTGCCTGCATGTGTTCCTGCAAGCCAGAAGAGGGCACCAGGTCTCATTACAGATGGTTGTGAGTCACCATGTGGTTGCTGGGAATTGAACTCAGGACCTCTGGAAGAACAGTCAGTGCTCTTAACCTCTGAGCCATCTCTCCAGCCCTTTTTTTTTTTTTTTTTTAAGATTTATTTATTTATTATGTATACAGCATGTATGACTGCAGGCCAGAAGAGGGCACCAGATCTCATTACAGATGGTTGTGGGCTACCATGTGGTTGCTGGGAATTGAACTCAGGACCTCTGGAAGAACAGCCAGTGCTCTTAACCACTGAGCCATCTCACCAGTCCCTTTTTTTTCTTCTTTTCTCTTTGTTTATTTTTGTTTGTTTTTGTTTTTTTGAGACAGGGTTTCTCTGTGTAGCCCTGGTTGTCCTTGAACTCACTCTGTAGACCAAGCTGGCCTCCAACTCAGAGATCCACCTGCCTCTGCCTCCTGAGTGCTGGGATCAAAGGTGTGCATTGCCATGCCTGGATCCTTGAAATTTTCTTTATTGTGCATGTGCACATACATGTGACGGCATGTGTGCAGCTGAGAGGAAAACTCATGGGACATTCCTCCCCTTCCAGCAGACGGGTCCAAGGGTGTGAGTTCCAAGGTCAGTCTGGTGGCAAGTGTCCTTATTGAGTGAGCTCTCTTGCTGGCCTTTTTTGGTTTTGCTTGTTTGTTTGTGGGAAGGTACAGGATTTTATTCTATAGCTCAGGCTAGCCTGGAACTCATGATGAAGCCCAGGCTGGCTTTGAGCTCACCATTCTCTTACCTCAGCTTCAAGTGCTGAGATTTGCAGGTGTGAGCCATCACCCCGAGTCTGCCACTTGTTATAGTCTGTAATCTTTGCTAGACATTTCATAATCTCCACAAGGAAAGGGCAGGAAAAACTGTAGGGCAGAGGAGAAGAGAGGCTGGTGCATCTGAGGCTGTTTCTTAGGAGGAATAAATAAGGCAGCATGTCATCCTGTCAATTAGGGGTGTTAGATTAAATAAATAAAAATATACAACTCCCAGTTAAATTAGTCCAGATAAACAGTGAATAATTTGTTGGTAATAGTATGACCAGATATTTAATGTGATTACTTAGACTAACACGTTATTTATCGTTTACCTGAAATTCTACTCTAATAGGATGGATAGCCTGGGCTGTACCTGAGAGCTCCTATAGGGCTCAGTCTCCGCACTGTGGCTAAGGCTAAAGCTGTAGATCTAGACCTCCCAGGATCAGAATTCTGACTTTCTGAGTGATGCTGGACAGGTGCCTGAAGGTCCTGTGCTCAGTTTTCTTATCCTCAGAACAGAGCCCAGGGGCAAGGCTGGAGAGATGGCTCAGTAGATAAGAGGGAGCACTGGCTGTTCTCGCAGAGGATCAGGGTTCAATTCTCAACACCTACAAGGCAGCTTTCAAGTGTCTGTAACTCCAGTTCTGGGGACCCAATGTCCCCTTCTTGTCTCTTTGGGCTCTACATGCACACGGTGTACAGATATACATGCAGTTGAAACATCCATATATATAAAATAAAAATAAAAATAAATACTTTTTCTTTCTTTCTTTCTTTTTTTTTTTTTTGAGACAAGGTCTTCTATGTAGTTCTGGCTGTCCTGGAACTTGCTATGTAGACCAGGTTGGCCTCAAACTCACAGAAATCCTCCTGCCTTTACCTTCCAAGTGCTGAGATTAAAGGCTTGTGCCACCTCACCTGACTAAATACATCTTTAAACACGAAAACAGACTGGACTGGGTAAGAAGCTGAGTGACAGAAAGGCCCTGGGTTCCAATCTCAGCACTGAAAAACATAAACCTCTCTCATATACACAAAAGGAGAAACAAGAAACTGGAGAGAGAGTGGGATTAGCACTTAAGAACACTTGCTTCTCTTACAGAGGACTTGGGCTCAGTCCCCAGGACCCACATGGTGGTTTACAATCATCCGTAACTCTAGTACCAGGGGATCTGATGCCTTCTTCTGGCCTCTCCAGGCACCAAGTAAGCACATGTGGTGTGCACACATACATGTAGGTGAAACACACTCATATAAATAAAATAAATCTTCAAAAAAGAGTGTTTATCACTAATGACAGTCTATGTTGGAGAGGATGCAGAGCAAGGGGAATACTCCTCCACTGTTGGTGGGAATGCAAACTTGTACAACCACTGTGGAAATCAGTATGGCAGTTTCTCAGAAAATTGGGAATCGTCTGCCTCAGGACCCAGCCATACCACTCTTGGGCATATACCCAAGGAATGCTCAATCATACCACAAAGATACATGCTCAACTATGTTCATAGCAGCACTATTCATAATAGCCAGAACCTGGAAACAACCTAGATGCCCGTCAACTGAAGAATGGATTAAGAAAATGTGGTACATATACACAATGGAGTACTACTCAGCAGAGAAAAACAATGACAGCATGAAATTTGCAGGCAAATGGATGGAACTAGAAAATATCCTGAGTGAGGTAACCCAGACCCAGAAGAACAAACATGGTATGTACTCACTCATAAGTGGATTCTAGATATAAAGCAAAGAACAATCAGACTGCAACCCACAGATCCAGGGAGGCTACATAGCAGGGGGGGTCCCTAGGATGACTGTGGCTTATAACAAGTTTTGGTTTTACTCAATTACTGGGCAAGCCTCAATGAAACATTTCACTATTAGGATAAGAGTTTGTACTGTATCAAGCTGATAATAGAAAAATAAATAAATAAATAAAAATGAAAAAAGAGTGTTTCTGTTGTAGATTGTTGTGAGAACTAGATAAATATATATTGAGATGGAGCTTCAAGTTGGGGCAGAGTCCTTGCCTCTCAAGGATGATGCCCAAGTTCTGTCCTTAGCAGCCCACCTCTAAATAATATACAATATTGAAAAACGTGCTGGTCACAGAGTAGGAAGTATGCTTGTCAAAATGCTAACATAGGGCAACAAGTATTGTTACAATCTTACTTTATACTAGTAACTGTTGCTTCTTCCTGCCAAATCGGATCCTGGCAGGCTTCAACATCTTTCCTGCCATTCCCCAAGAGTGCCACAAGAGGGCATCAGCAACTGACAGTATTATTAATAACCCACCTCGGGCCCCTTGAAGTCCCTAGCTCCACCTGAGCGTATCGATGGGCTCTCATAACCCACTTGTCAGAGGTACAGTATGGGCTGACCTCTGAGGACGTGCTGGAGACTGGTGCTTCACAGATGCCGGGGACAGCAATGTAACACGGGGCCCACACGCCCCCCTTCTGACTCTTCAGTATGGATTCTGGCTACAAGGAGCAAGCAGCGCATGGTGAGAGGGAGGGGAGGCACCTGTTTGACCCGCCACAGCTCCCCAAGGGACTCCTGTGAGAACCTGCACGTTGAACTCTATATTAACAGAAGTCACACAGAAATCCAGTCCCGGGGCCGAAGCACAGCCTTCCCGCGAGTGTGCAAACTGTGTGTGCTGCCTCCACAGCGGTCCTGCTGAAACTTGGGGGGCGTCTCACCGTCCTCAGCCTGGGTTTGCCTTGTTTAACACCGAGGACAGACTTGCTCTTTCCAGGGTCGCTGATTACTCAACGCCCGTGCTCTAAATCAGGATTGTGAACTTGGAGGACATCTCAGAGAGGATTCACTCGGCACCTTTGTTACGGACTTGAGGAGGGTAGGGACTTCTCACACCCGTGGAGTTTGAACCAGAGTCTAGGTATCTCAATACCAATAATTCTGTCATCTTCCGATGAGGAGTAGGTGACTTGGTGTCCCTGAGTGGAATACCAGCGCATACAGTGCTGTCCAGTCGGTGCCTCATTGCTGACTCGTCAGCACTTCTCCAGCTCTCTGGCACTACTTTGCTTTTCTTCTTTCTTCTTCCTTTTTAGCCCCCCCCTTATCTATCTATCTATCATCTATCTATCTATCTACCTATCCATCCATCTATCTATCTATCCATCTATCTACCTACCTACCTATTTTGTGTACGTATGTCGGCCTGTGTGTGCCACAGCACGCACGCACGTAGAAGTTAGAAGACAACTTGTGAGGTCATTCTGTCACTCTGTCCTTCTACCCCGTGGATCTCGGGATTTCCACTCAGATTATGAGGCTTGGCAGCGTTTGCCTTTAATCACGAGGCCCTCACACTGGCCCCCATGTAGTGACCCTGCTTAACTCCTTACTCAAGGAGGCTTCTGTGGGTTCGTATGTGTGTGTTATGTATGTTATATAGAACATATGTTTATATGACATACACAGTATTGTATGTACTATATATATCTATATATTTTGAGGCAGGGTCTTACTATGTAGCCCTGGCTGTTCCAGAACTTTCTATGCTATGTAGACCAGGCTGGCTTCAAACTCCCAGAGATCTATCTGCCTCTGCTGGGATTAACAGTGTGTCGCTATGATGGGCAGGCTTCTGTGTTTTATGGGCCAGCTACAGTTAGAAAGATCTCCTTTTTGCTGTGTCTTGTCTTCCCAGGAGCCTGTTCAGATACCTAAACTCTGGACCCATGGCTGACCTGTTCACTGCCTTGGGACACCTCAACAGCCTATTCAGAGGAAGTGAGTCACCACAAGCAGGCCACACTTGGGCATTGTGGGCATGGCAATGCCAGCTGGGGTGGGGGATGGGTTGGAAAGGCGTGGTGATCCTAATCTACTGGTTCACCCAAGGGAGAGTGTGGGGAACAGCATCCTGGTGCTGGCTGAGGCCAAGTGTCTCTGCTTTCCATTTTCTCTTTTGTCTGCTTCTTATCTCCATTTCTCAGGCTCTCATTATTCAGCTTTTGTCCACAAAACTCCTCTGTTTTTCCCCTCTCTTTCCTTCTCTCCTTTTTTTTAAACTTAACTTCATTTACCCAGAGGAAGCATTTAAAAAGTCTGGTGGGCTGAGTGTGATAGTTCACCCCTACAAACCTAGAACTCAGGAGGACTGGCTTTGATTCTGAAACCACGTTGGGCTACATAGTGAGAGACTGCCTCAAAATAAATACATATCTGGGGGCTGGAGAGATGGCTCAGGGGTTAAGAGCACTTGTTCTTACAGAGGACCTGGGTTCAATTCCCAGCACCCACATGATGGCTCACAACCATCTGTAACACCAGTGGTG